TGACAGCATAGAAAAGAACAAAAACATGTTATATAGTCTCACCACAACACTAACACCTCGACAGTTTACTTACGTTGGATATAAAAAGTTACTAAAAACATTCACTGCACCCCGAGCTAACGAATTTGCAATAGAATACTACGATCATAATATCATCCGCCCTAATCAAGACCAATTTTTAGATGAAAACCGCTTCGCAAACCCGCAACTAACAGAAAAATTTTTCATCAAAACATCATACGTCTTCATACTTAATGTTTTTGATAGAAAGAATGACCACATTATTTCAGAATCAGTAGCTGATATTCAAGCATACGAGAGCTTCTACGATAAATTTCAGTTATTCTCACTAACCTTTCACTTTCTTTCACCACAGGAACGCAATTTGCACTGTTCCCACGATATTATCTTACGCACTAAACAAACGCACACATATACATACTATCGTTTTATACAAAATCATTTTGATTTGCACACCCATCAAGACAACCTCACCATCGCTTTCAGTTTCTTAACTCAAGGTACACGTCACCATTTTTCCTTAATTTTACATATTGCATCAAAGATACTAACCTCCACGGCATCCTCCGCAACTATGACCCAGTTACCCAAATGTATATATTTTGTCCCATCACGAAAACATTCAACGCCGAAGAATCCAGACCCTTCCTTATCCCGAATGATTTTATCCAGCCTATTGAAATACCCATTTTAGAATTTATTAACAATACTAAATATAATCATAAGATATATAACCTCATTCAAAACACACCTTATGAGTTTGCAGTAGGCACCGAAGAACTGAACACCATTAAAGCACTTCAATTGCTTTGGCCACTGCTACAAACTAAAAACATCATACGCATACTAGCAAAACTACTAACAACATCAGATATGATACACGACATCTTCCCCCACGGCTTTTTCCCAGAAGATTAAGGTAAGTATAATTTGAAATACTCTTAACTAATAAATTTAAATTAGTACTAACCATTTTTTATCAATGTTTGATTTATATTTCTAGTCTTCACACCACAATCACCTACAAAACAGAAAAGAAAAATAAAAATACAAACTTGTTAAATTATCTTAAAATTCATTAATTTCTTGCACTAAATAATGTAGTAAAATTCATACCAAGTGTAGTAATTTCATTTATATATTATTCCCCCATGAAGCAGTAAACTTAATTTCGATGAAAATTTATAATTTTACATTTCCCTAAAACGCAGTAAAATTCAAATTCAATGCAATAAATTCATAAAATGAGAAAGCAGTACTAACCTTTTCAATATTTTCATCCATTTGCACAAGAATTCTATCCAAACTCGCACAGCTTGCCCACGAAGAATTGTTTAAATAATGATTTTAAGTTTCAAGCTTTCACTATCAACAACTCTAACACACAATAACAAGTTTCAAGCTTTCCTTTAACCCGGTTGGAATGGAATTATATAATAACCAAACTAACCAATGCAGCTTACTAAACACCACAAATCATAAAATAACAGCATGATTAAAAAAAGAAAACCAACGGTACCCAAACCGGACTAACCCAGCTTATAACAGGATAATTTATTCTTTTAAAGACTATTATAAAGTCTAAGAAAGAAATCATAAAACACAAAAAAGTCGTAAGACAAACCCAAACCAAAAACAATTTGATTTTTGAAAAAGGACACAACCAAAGTAACATAATAAAGACCAGAAAAAAAACCAACATAAAATGTTATCACATAACAGGACCTTTCAAAGAAACAGCATGAAATCATACTCCCACTCCTGGCCTAACCCACCAGAGAAGGAAGTCCTGAGCATGCTTATAGCCGGCCTAACCCACCGCGCTACACCCACGCTTTGTGACCACACTTCAAATTTTAATAAGAGGTACTCAAGGGTGAGTAACTCTTCAAAATAACTGAACTAAAATAAAACGCTTTTGTGAAAACAACTAACTAAGATCATGACTATAAACCAAATTAACAAAAATTTATAAAATGTAAATTATAATATGCAATATATAGATCATACACAACAACAAAGACGAACATCCAAAAACTAGGCGATCCCATCACACTCGAACAAAGAATGGCTAAACACAAACGACATGTCGTCCACAATCACGACTCAAAGGATTTAGAGTACGACTTGACTTCGCAGAAAAGGACTTCATTGAATTAAACCAATGACCACCTCGATGTTCAAGTATACATACAGATCCGAGATTACAAGGCATCCCTTCCAAACACGATCTTCACGCCATTCCCAGACGAGGCTGCACACAAAACAGTTCTCTACTAATACAGAAAAATCTGACATAGCAAACCATTTTGAAATTGGACTGATTTCATTGGGGATCACAGTCGTTGTCGAATGACAAGATAACAACTTCATATCCACCATTCCAGCGTCCTGGAACGTTCTTCTTCAAGAGGAACCGGATAAGAAAATGATGTTCGCCAAATACCAACGTTCATCATCCATCCTTCAATTACAGAAAGGAAGATAAATCTAAAAAACTCTGTAAACCCCGGATGGGTGGAACCTGATCTAAGCTACATTTTAATATTGGATAAATTAGATATTTTATCACTATAAAATATTTAATATTAACCAATCTTATTCCATCTAACTAACAACCCACTTTTTTTATAAGTGCCGAAATTACTTGTAATTTCAGCACCAGAGAGATTTGAATTTACCTTAGAAATTAGTTGCCTCTCCAAGAGAACTTCAGCTGCCGCAATAAGCCAGTATACTCTAGATCTATTGAGCCTAGCAGAGACTAGTTAAACACCCTGAGACTAGTAGATATAAGAGTAAGACTAGGATCGGTATTAGACTAAGAAGTTGCACGAATCTATCTGGCCGAAAATAAGATAGCGTGACGAGCAGACAGTGTACCCTATCCGAAATTACTCTATGAGTTAACCACCTTCGGTCATAACTCATTTTCTGAAATTTTTTAAAACAACCCAAACCCAAAAACAGGTCAAAATTTTTTGTTAGGTCAGTTAACTTAACAGTTTTTTTCAAAATCAACAAATCTGAAGAAGTGAACAACACATGATTGCTGGAAAACATTTAGTATAGACAGTGAATATTAGTGTTTGATTAGTGTTTTGATACATCCAAGATCAAGTTTAGGCGCACATATTTTGCTAAATCAAGTTTCGATGATTCTATCCAAACTCTCACAGCTCGCCCACGAAAAATTGTTTAAAAAATGATTTTAAGTTTCAAGCTTTCACTAAAAACAACTCTAACACACGATAACAAGTTTCAAACTTTCCTTTAACCCGGTTAGAAAGGAATTATATATTAACCAAACTATTCAATGCAGCTTACTAAACACCACAAATCATAAAATAACAGCATGACTAAAAAAAGAAAACCAACGGTACCCAAACCGGATTAACCCAGCTTAAAACTGGATAATTTATTCTTTTGAAGACTGTTATAAAGTCTAAGAAAGAAATAATAAAACACAAAAAAGTCGCAAGACAAACCCATACTAAAAACAATTTGTTTTTTGAAAAAAGGACACAACATAAGAAAGACCAACATAAAACCAACTTAAAACGTTATCACAAAACAGGACCTCTCAAACAAACAGCATGAAATCATACTCCCACTCCTGGCCTAACCCACCAGAGAGGACGTCCTGATCATGCTCTATAGCCGGCCTAACCCACCGCGCTACATCCACGCTTTGTGAACACACTCCTATTTTTAATAAGAGGTACTCAAGGGGAGTAACTCTTCAAAATAACCGAACTAAAACAAAACGCTTTTGTGAAAACAACTAACTAAATTCATGATTAAAAAACCGAACTAACATAATTTTATAAAATGTAAATCAGACTTTGCAGTATATAGATCATACACAACAACAAAGACGAAAAGCCACAGACTAGATGATCCCATCACACTCGCACAAAAGAATGGCTAAACACAACCGACATGCCGTCCACAATCACGACTCAAAGGATTTAGAGTACGCTTTGACTTCGCAGAAAAGGACTTCATTGAACTAGACCAATGACCACCTCGATGCTCAAGTATACGTACAGATCCGAGTTACAAGGCATCCCTTCCAAACACGATCTTCACGCCATTCCCAGACGAGGCTACACACAAAATAGTCCTCTACTAATACAGAAAAACCTGACATAGCAAACCATCTTGAAATCGGATTGATTTCATTGGGGATCACAGTCGTTGTCGAATGACGAAACAATAACTTCCTATCCCTGATTCCAGCGTCCTGGAACGTTCTTCCTCAAGAGGAACCGGATAAGAAAATGATGTTCGCCAAATACCAACGTTCATCATCCATCCTTCAAATTGCAGAGAAGAAAGATAGTTCTAAAAAACTCTGTAAAACCCGGATGGGTGGAACCTGATCTAAACTACATTTTATTATTGGATAAATTAGATATTTTACCACTGTAAAATATTTAATATTAACCAATCATAATCCATCCAACTAACAACCCACTTATTTGTAAGTGCTGAAATTACAAGTAATTTCAGCACCAGAGAGATTTGAATTTAACTTAGAAATTAGTTGCCTCTCCAAGAGAACTTCAGCTGCCGCAATAAGCCAGTATACTCTAGATCTATTGAGCCTAGCAGAGACTAGTTAAACACCCTGAGACTAGTAGATATAAGAGTAAGATTAGGATCGGTATTAGACTAAGAAGTTGCACGAATCTATCCGGCCGAAAATAAGATAGCGTGACGAGCAGACGGTGTACCCTATCCGAAATTACTCTATGAGTTAGAGATCCATCCTAACTCATTTCAGCGAGAACTGAAGTAAAGTTATACAGTTTCAGAAGCTATATTTGAAACAGTTTCCGGATCAGGCAGCCAAAATTGAATACGGCAACTGTGCAAAAAATGATCATTTGGGTGGACAGGATCAAAATACTGCGGGGGGGGGGGGGGAACCTCTTTACCCCTCCACCATTCAGCAACCTCACTCGCATTTAAAATAAAGAATAGGGAAATTTATTTTAACTACAGTGTAGGTTTGTGCATTTATAAATTACTGAATCATCACTAGTGATGCAATCAACTGATAAAAAAGGATAAATAAAATTGTTTGTACATCTCTGCTATATTTCTGTGACCTCTAAGTTTTCAATGTAGTGCAGTTTGGACAGGTCTTTCATGAAGAGGGCAATGTGATCCTTGTTGCAGTTAGTGTTCCACAGAACGAAGCAAACCTAAACAACCAATTAATAGTCATGTTAGAAAAATGCGATGTTAGAAAAAAAAAACGTGGAGATTTGTTCGATACGCAATGGTAGCAAGAGCATCAAAGGAGGATTTGAACTCTTGAATTGGAGATTGAGTGTCCATTCGCAACCAAAAGTCCAACTATAATTGAGTAATTGAAAATCTGATGTCTTATCAGCATCATGATTGGGTCTTTTAATCACTAGGAAAATAAAAACTGAGGAAGATTTAAAATTATTCAAAAGTCAAACGATCCCTGTGAGTTAAATATTGTATATGTACCTCTTTCTCACTGAATAATTCGGTGCATATACAAAACGGTCCAATACAAAATAGCCCAAAAAATCATGAAAAGAAGAAAAAAACAGTCCAATACAAAACAGTCCGGTTTAAGGTCGCCGGTTCAATTCAGTTCAATCTACTTGTTTTTTAGTTTGAAAACAAAATGACCTTGAGGGAACACCAGTGGGGTGGGATGAAGTGTGCGTTGAAGGAGGAGATGGAGCTGGCCTTGAACACTCTGCCGAAGGAGAGCATGTCCTCCTTGTACCAGTTGAGCCACTTGCTCTCCGCCTCCTTCCGCTTCACACCCTCAGTCGCCGCCTACACAAAAACAACATAACTCATCACATTTCAACCCTCGCTCTTTTGCTCCAGCCCCCTTTTCTAGTAACTCTTTGAGTTCTGTAGAAACTACATAGACCATTTAAATCACTTTTTCTATGATTATCATACTGTAACTTTTCTACGATTTTCATACTGTTTGAGCAAATGGCTTAATTTGAACAATTTTTGTTTAATTGTCAGTTGCCTGATTCACAATTTTTGGAAATAATTAAAACGTAAATTGAAATATTAAGTAGTTGTAATAATTTTTTTATACTTTTTACTTGTATTTGCAATCGTAATTTGAGGTGCTTGTTTAGAAGAGAAAAAGTGCTAGTGCTGACATTATCATATTTGAAAACACTGCAGAAAACTTCAAAAAAGTTGTTCCTGATAATAAGCAGCAACTTATGTCAAGAGCGTTAAGTATATTGTTAACAAATTGCTGTCATGCAGTTAAACCCATATATTTATGTCTCAATCAAACTTATCAACCTATAGCATTACTGTCTTGAGTAATGTGTGCAAAAAGTGTGTGAAGCGTGTACCTTGATCTCGGCCACTATGAGTTCAGGGACTAGGAACTTGACGTTGACGGAGTAGTTGAACTTCTTGAGGATGTTGAAGTGGTCGAGTGAGTGCAGGTACTGTGCATTGTGCACCCCGTAGAAGGTGGCGTCCAACTTGAGTAACTGCACCGTGGAGAAATCCGCCCAGGAGGGGATGAGTAATTGCCCTACAAATAATAAGACATTTTATTGGGCAAATGAACTTTTAACAAGTTTTTTTATCTCAAGCGCAAAGTAAAAATCAACAGTTTTTGCTTTCTATGAGTCAGAATGCTGTTTTTATTACCATTTCAAATGCTCATCAATGCATGCGTGATGATGAAACCTATCAAGTACTACTTTAACCTATCAAACAGTTAAGTATGACCGAGAAAGATGCATAATTAAGTGCCAGTTACCGAATGGACACGGAATGTGAAGCAAATTTGCACAAAAAAAATTAAAAGTTGTATGTTGCTTCAAACGAATTAATTCTAGTTTTAACTTGATTGCTTACACAGACGAAGATTCACTTCACATATGCAAGCAAAAAAATGAAAATTAATTGAAATCGAAGTGGTTAAACTGATCAGTACAGAGAGCCCCCCCCCCCCCCCCCCCCCCCAGCATAGAGAGCCACTTATACACAGCCCCTCCCCGGTACTATATAAACAGAGCCCCCACACATACTATATAAACCCAATTGACATAGTTTTTGTCTATCAATGCAGTGATAAAAACAACTAGCTCAAATCAAGATTGAATTTGATATTATTTGGTGATGGATTAATTTACCGCTTACGCGTTGAAAGAACGAAAAATCCCGCGCTTCGATGGCCACAAATTGACAATTTTCAAACCCCATAACTCCCATCTGTGCCACGGTCGCTTGAAAATAAACTAGTGGCCTAGCTATTGCTGGATGCATCTGTTTTTTCAAAAAATTCAACAATAGTAATTTCTCTGCTTCTTAGGGGATTAGCCGCTTATTTTTAGGAGACATCTACTACTCGCTCTTTCAAAAAAATATATAGTTCCGACCATTGAAAAACTTTGTATTCGGGTGTGTTTTAGTTTTTTTTTAACTTTTGTTTTCCACGAAAAATCGGGTACCACAAATACTCATCGGATAGGGTTGAATGAAATGTCATGTTAAAACCCTTTCAATCGTGATTCGAACAACACCAAGAAATTTCAAAAAAAAAATTCTGTGCCGAGAAAAACCGATTTGACTTATTTTTAATTAAATTTTAAAGTTTTTTTCAACAAGGTTTTTTGTTTTTCTAGTCATTTTTCGCACAAAAAAACGATCGTTATTTTTTTTAAGCATATGTTTGGAAAATTCTGTGCTACTTGCACAGCACCGGCTATCGTTTTTATCTCATAATTGGATGGGTAGTTCGATCAGAAATTCAAAATGTTTTTCTACAAAAGCATGGGAATAGCCTCTTAGGCATGGAAGATGCCACAACCTATTTTATGGATAGAACTTAATATCAGATTTAGCAAGTAGTTTTCGAAAATAGTAGTTTTCAAGAAAAGTGAAAAAATTTCTTTAAAAAATTCCACCATTCGGTCCTTCTGTCATTCGGACACCACTGCATCAGATACCTCAAGGAACACTGGAAGGTGGCAGAGTAAGTCACCATTTTATATCCGTTCTAGTCGCCATGCGGATTCCTAAAAAAATCAAAAATTTCTCTGTGTCGAGAAAAACTGGTCTTGTTTCGAGTTTCGTGTCTCAGACTCCTTTACAGCGGGGTATAGTCTTCTTAATCAGGACACATTTTTAAAAAATCTCACCGCTTCATTGTGATTTCATTATTTTTCTTACTTTAATTCTTTACATATAATCTAATAAATGAAGCTTAGTTTCAACACCTTTCAAGACTAAAAAACAGCAGAAAAATAGCGAACAAAAAGTTTTGGCAATAAAGCTATGCTAAATCATTCTGCGCTACTTGCACATCAGCTGGGCGTATTTGTTCATTTTTAGGGCAACTTGGCATCTCAATTAGTTTTTCTTCATCGCGGTGCGTTGTGGCGTTTTTAATTAGGCGTCAATATGATTACCCAAATGTTCTACCAATGTGAATCGATTAGTTTAAGAATATTTCTATATTAATTCCTTTAAAAAAACTACAAAAGTATATAAATTTCCAGGTGTAGTTCCAAATAGATTCAAAAAAAATTAGAGAAGCATTTGAATTCTGACTACACCTGTGCGCAGGTAGTTGAGCAAGATGGAGAAAGTGTCCGAGTCTCTGTCTATGAACATGGGCAGATCCTTCATCGCAGCCTCCTTGGCCACAGTGGCTGAAAAGAGAAGATCAAACACAAATTACTAAATACTAAACTAAACAATTGACTTGCCATGTCTAAAACTTCCCCATGTTTAAGAACATAACTTGATTAATTTACGAAAAAAAGTTGAGTAATGTCGGCATCCTAAGACCCCCGCTGTCTTCCTAATAGATCAATTACAAATATTACATTCACTTTTTAATTTGAATTGCAATGGCTTAGCGCTGCATTTCAAATACTCGATTCAGCTGCTTATTGACTTATTGACAGACGAACTAGAAACTCCAACTTGCAACCAAGTTCATATTTTCCCCCTAAACTGCTCGGGATGGAGATTCAAACTTGATATCCAAAACGCCTTCCGTGAGACACTTTTAGTTTGCCTACCACAACGTAGCGATAAGGCACACAGCAGGAATTTTTTTTGATATAGTTTGAAAAGCAAATGAATTAAGAGCAAAACTAAACATCACTGCAGGGCCATTTTGTCTCGAAGTTTTTTTGTTCTACAAACCTTTGTTACAAAATTACCAATAAACAACATGCCTTACCAAGGTTTGACTCTTCACCTGCCTTCTGAAGTGTAGATAAAAGGGTCTCGAATATTTTGCCGCCCACGTTTAACTTAACTCTTTGGTTCATCAGGGCTCCATTGTTGGCGTAAAGCTGCGAGTTAGAATCATTTTGGAAGTTAGGATTGCTTCCACTCGATTGATGACTGGGCACAACTCCATTGCCCGGTTGTTGACCAAGAGTTCCAGCAGGCGACACCGCAGACCCGATGCCACTGCTCTGCTGCTGTAAATTTAGTTTTCCTTTTCCTTCGAAGGGAGAATCGCCTCCTGGCATTTGCTGCTTGTTGTCCAACTTCAAATTCTGCATAGCTTGCACATTGTTTCCCGCGCTCATAGTGGGTAATTGGTGCTTGCTGTAAGCGGGGGGTTGGTGGTTCGATCCCTGGTAGTACCCGTTAGTAGACACAGGTGAAGAAGGCGACGCAGTCGTGACAGGTGAGGGGCAAGTTGGAAACAGACCAGTCACGGTTGAGTTTGAATCATCTGTGTTTCCATGCGGCGTGAACGTGTGAAATGGTTGCACGTGAGCGTGCGAAGTTGCGTGATGGGAAGAAGAGTTCACGTGATGATGATGAGGCGGTGAGCTGAATAACTCCGGGGAATTTATTGTCATGGGAGAGAAGCTACTGTCCGAATTGGAATGGGAGAGGAATTCTGAGGTTGCGGCCGCTGCGTGCATCACAGAGAAGAGCGGGTTGGGATGGTATAAATAACCCCCCGTAGCGTTCACCTACCAACAGGCAGGTTAAATTGGCAACTAACAAAAGGTATACCAACAACAAAACAGTAACAGTACACAGAAGGCGGATCCACTAAGCAATATCTGCAGGGCTCAATAAACAACCCCGCCGATTTTTGTCCAATTACACACCGGGTACTTCCCTTTAAAATTGCACCATGTTGGCGAAGATTTGTTTGGTTAGTGTTAATTTTTGTTCACAGCCAGACATCATTTTCCGACGTTCTCCACTAGTTTAGTTACTATTTTATAAAATGAAAAATTGCTTCAGAGGAAAATTTATTATTTATCGAAGTCTATGGATATGTAAATGGCGCCAATTTTTAATCAAAATCAGAATGGTCACGATACCAAAATATATGAAACGCTATTGTACTCTGATAATACTGATCAACAATTTAAAAATATTCGATCTTGAGTAAATTGAGACTGATTTTCAAAAGTGTTCGAGCAAGACCAAACTGAATGAAAATGTAGTAAGTGAATTTGTTTAAGCTTAAAGTTATGTAATGTAATGACGTTCATCTGGTTATAAGAGTCTTTTTAAACTGCGATTGTTTGCTGTGCCTTGAAACAGAAACAAAATTTGAGGTTGAAATCAATCTTTCTTTCAGCGGATGGTAAGAAAAACAGCTAAGTGTAATGGTAAAGTACGAACAATATCACCGCTGCAACTAGAGTAGAAAAATGAAGACACAAATTCCAGCCCAAAGGAACTGATAATCTTCCCCTAAATTAAAATTTATCAACTGCTGTCGCTTTGCGACGCGTTTAGTAGTATTGTTACTAGGCAAAAATTAACATATCCTCCAAATTCACGAAGCTGTGAAATGTATGCGCAAAATGTTGATGAAGAAGGTGGCTTGGATTTGATTTTCTTTCAGGGAGTATTGAAAAAGGTTATACACTTGAAAAGGGGAGCTTAAAAGTATCAGCGCGATAGGCACTTGGTTTATTGGTTGACTCTGACCATAAAAGAAAGGTCTGTTATATTGCAAGACTTGTTTAAACAGCCATTTGCAGTCAACGTCGATTTGATTGCTCTGTTACCACTATGCAATATTTTGAGAAACACCCATACACTACTCACCCTAACCCTTACCCTCAACCTCGCCCCCTCAACTTCTCCCTCCCGACTCCCCCTCCCCCTCCCCCTCCCCCCTCCCGCTCTCATATCCCATATATACAAAATGATTGCTATGATTTTGAGACACTTGTCCAATGAATCGAATAAAATATACTGCACACACAAGACGCCGAAAAATCATTTCTTTGCAGTGGGAGAAAAAAGTGATAAAAATGCCTACCTTTCAATTATGTTGCCTCTGATTTTCGAAACAAATTTTGATTAAGCACTTGCAAAAATTTTTTGGAACTCAGTGCAAAAATTGTGAAGTCCAGGGACGATGTCATTTGGCATCCCGATCACCATCAAAGTACCCAAGCTTGGCGTGGTATTGCTCTTTTGTTACACTAATGAGACAGGCTTGAAGTCTTTGTTTTGATTTTGATCAAATTTTGTTTAATTGCGCTTAGTGAAAATTATAATGGAGTTATGAAAAGATTCGAAATGATTCAAAATTTTCATTCTTTGATTGGCTGTATATCGCATAGCCAGACAAGACACCAAACACTCTCACCAGGACCAAAAACAGACAAAAACATAGTGAATCGAAGATTGGAAAAGAGTAATGAACGCAAGGAAACTGAAAAAAAAAACGGACTTTTTTTTCAAAAATCTTCAACTTTTGAATTTCGAAGAAAAAAATAGATGGCCTAGAAGTTCTTCAAATTTGTAGAACAATTTATCATGGACACTTTTTTGTTAAATCAAAACAGTTTGAGAAAACTGGTTCAACAGGCAAAACTTTTTTTCGCTGGAAAATCTGATAAGTAATTTCCATTTTCGAAACTAGAAGTCGATCACGTTTTTCGTGACTTTTAATCTTTTGCTGTTCGATAGTGGAGTTTTTCTTCCTTTTAACGTTAGAAACTTAATGAACTTAAAAAAAATCACAAGCAAACCGCGAGAAATTAAAATTGAGCGTGAACAAATTTTAAATTTTCCAGAAAAAAAAATAAAAAAATCAGCAAGATCTATATAAGAGTACTCACTACGCTCATTATTTTTAAACAAAAAAATTTCAAACGTTATCAAGCTGCAAGTGATTATTTTTTGGTTTGGGCTTGAATCTCAGCTAGAAAAAAAAACTTTTTTTTCTCCATGAATACTCTGACAGGACAATTATGTTCTACTAGCACAACATCTTGCTATTGTTCCTTCAAAAAATCAATACATTTCTGATGTGCAGGCTGATTCATAAAAAAACTCTCATGTCAGGGCTGAGTTGCAAATGGTCCATATCTTAAGCTTGATTCAAGCTGTTGATCCAAAATGATCTACAAATTTGACTCCTTATTGAATATCTAAAAAAACATCACTCTTTAGGTTTCCTGAAATAGTTAAGAGGAGGTGACTTAAGTTCAGATTGAAACACAATGGGGCGAACCCGAGCTTCGCACCATTTGCGGTACAACACATACATAAAAAGAAAAAAAATCGAAAAAAGGAAAAAGTTGAATAAATTAGGTCTTCCAAAATTTGAATTTTCCCATGACTCGATAGAAGTTCATTCTAGGCAAACATGTCAGAAATTTGACTATTAAATAAGGAACGGAACAAAAGTAACAAAAAGGAAACGAACCCGAAAATCTTTGAGTAGACACAGCTTCGGTCGAAAAAATGAAAATTCAAGTCACACTTGAAATTACAATGAACAACACTTGCAGCACTTGCAACTACAATGAAAACTGTAACAAAGCGCAAGCAAAATTCATGAGTTGGCAACTAGGCTGACACAACTAGGCTTACCGCAAATTATTTTTTTAATTGCGCACCTTGAAAAAAGGGTCGGGCTAAGACTTGAGACCCAGACATTAGGGTTTAAAGTCGACTGCAATACCACTACACCAAGTTGGAGGGAACATGAAAAATGTTAAGGATTCAATAATTTAGCACGTTGAAAAGTTTCGAGCGAAATTGTTTACGGGAAAAAGTCTAAATACCGATAGCAAGACACTTGCTCTCGCAAGTGTAATAACCATAAAAAATGATGATACGGCATATATTTCTGTGAAGTAACCAAAACCTTCAAATTGCGCTAAAAAACACCATACTTATTTTTACTTACTTCTATTCAAGGGTGTTCATAACAAAGAAGTTAGGGCGTAATTGTAATACTCAACTTGAACGTAACTTAACCTTCAAAGAAAAACAATATTTATGCTTTGTTAGTGCAAAAAAAATATGGGTCTTTATGAAATTAGCAATCTGCTCAAAAATGAAAACCACCCTATCTTCTTATTACAAACTAACAATGTGACCGGAAAAACTACGGGTTTTCAGTCATATTTTTGAAAAACTAAAACAGCGTATTTTTATTTTTATCCAAAAAAAACTAAGCTAACATTAAACTCAAAAATAACTTCATTGAATGAAAAACTTGGCAAAAAAATGTAGGCAGCAAATTAGAAACAGCAAAAAACCTAAGTTGAATTCTGCTCGCATCGTAAATGGCGATCAGGCCCCGAAAACCGCTAAGAACATAATCGAAAAAAAATCGAAAATGTCAAAAAAATAGATATAACAAAAAGAAAGAAACTAGCTATAAAAAGCCAAGACAAAAGAATGTGAAATTAGCATCAGAAAAAATTTATCGAGCGGTAAAATTAACTGATTAGGAACTCTTTAAACCAAAAAAAAAAACAAGAATATAAAAATATTTACAAAAATAAAAAGTTTTTAGGTCGCCCTCACACAGTCATATTACGCAACGCGTACAGAAGTTGTTTACAATCATCGAATGACGTCATATGAGGCCAAGAAGCCGATATAACATATGCCGAAACCTATTAGACCAAAAGAAGAAACAAAATGTTATTTTAACAAATTGAGTAAAACTAGAACCAATTTAAAAAAAAAAAACAATTTTTGAATAGAATGGATAATTTGAAATTGTAACAGGCACAAAAGTTTGTTGCGGTAAAGTCCGGATGAGTCCTGAGAACAAAGTTATTTACGGAAAGTCTATTCCCCGGTTGCAACACACCTGCTATCGCAAGTGCAATCAACTTTCGGCAAACTGAGGACAATTTTTTGGACGATCAAGATTGCAGCTATGTGACACTGCTCAATGTTTTCGATTTTTTCTGTTATACCGCCCAAAACTGGCCTTTTTGTTATGTTGAAGCTTTTGATTGGTTGAAATTACAGCGAGAGAAAAAGAGAATTTATATTAAAACCAGAACCTTTAAGATTTTATTTGGCACATTTTTTTACCAGTGAAAACTGAGGGCGGTCAAAAGTTGCCAATAAGCGCACGTAGTTTTGGTCTTTTATGCACAACGCTTAAGCACCTGAAAACTCACAACAAACCTATTCCTGATGCAATTTATTCCAAACAATGTGTTACTAGACGCAAAATATGACGCACAGACAATTCGGCTAAAGGCAATTCAGCCAACTTGAAATTCAGACATTTCAGCTGAAATTATACAGACAACTCACTTTGAGACAATTCAGCCAGTTTTCAAAACGCTAGATTCGAAAGAAAAACAAATAGGAATTGGAGTTATTTCTCGGTTTAAGGTTACCGGTGGGTCGACAATCGGCTCTAAATTTCGTATAGAGTTCTAGCTTCTGATGGCAAGCTCGCAACACGTTGGCGCGACTGCGGCGGTCACTTTTATTGGCTGAATTATCTTTGGCCGATTTGCTTGCATACGTTTGGCTGAATTTCATTTCGTCGAAATTTTCTGAACGCGGCAAAATATATCGGAACTTCTGTACTATTTTCTCCTTATGATAAATTGTAACGAACCATTCCCCCCCCCCCCCTAATTATTAAGAAAAAGTTGATCCGGAAGAGTTAATATTCTTTCGGAACAAAAAAAAATAGTGTTGAGCTAAAGCAAAACATGAAAATTAAACGACAATAAAAACCGCATTTAGTCTGATAATTATAGAGTGAATGTAGAGAAAACGGCAAAAAATAAAGAAAAGAACCCGTTTGAGGCTAAATTAGGTGAAAATGCTTCGCTTTGGCATGTAATGTAATGTATTCAAATTCTGAATTTTTCTGTAATATCAATCCAAGTTCGTCATAAAATTTCTGATTTTCTTTTTCATCATTTATGAGAATGAGGGTGGGGGGGGGGGGTATGTCCGAAAAGACTCAAGAGCCATTAACTCAATAGGCTTACTAGGTTAGTTTGAAGAGACAACTCCGGGCAATAAACAAAAATCTTCTGGGAAATCAAATCTGAAAGCAAGAGTTAATCAAAACATGGGTATATTTTTACGTTTAGCATGTATAATCAGACCTCTGCACCCAAACGTGCGTTCTTTTGAGAAAAACAATTCTGGCTGGGTAAACTACTTTTGTATTTGAATCTCTCACTGGTTGCTTTATTTGTAACTTCATAAAACGAGACAGTCCTAATCAGACGAAAAGTAGAAATTCCAATCAGCAACTAGTCATACCAACTTGAGCTAAGTACGTGACAAGTGCAGATTTAACAGACGAAAAAAAAATAACTTAAGACCAGGTTAACACTTTATGCAGAAATCTTGTGAACTACCAAGTAAAGTTCTGTGACCTACCCAACGCAAAAGCAGTAAGCGCATATTTCGATTTGAACAAGTTTTTTTTTTTGTTTTTAGGCTTTGCGAGTTTTCGAAGCGCGTGGTTATATTACACCACCCACACTTATACCAAGACAGCAAATTTGCATTTCACATTCAGACGCAGACTTAAGGGGCAATATAAAATTGGGCTGAGAGCTATTTGCATTTTGGTAAAATAGACGTCTATTTCTTTGTTCAAAAAGACTATGCCTATTATAAATCCTGTTTTAGGGAGTCCCTCATAGGAGAAAGACCAAATGACAGAAACTCATTTAAGCCAATCAGAATTCGGTGTTCAAAAATCTGAAGAAAAAATGCAACGAAAATTTACACTCGATCTGAACAGTGACAAGTACCTTAAGACTGTTGGAAAAATTTGTATTGGTTGAAAACATTCTATCATTTGGTCTTTCTGCCCTGAGAATAGCACCCCATTCTATTTACCAGCCAAAAACGCCAGCAAAATCACTCACATGGTTAATGCGTTAATGAACGCCGAAGTTGGGAAAATTGGTATTTTTCCCACGTCGCCACGCTATACAATGAACACTTTACCCAACAAAGTACTTTTTTTCTTCTAAGTTTTTTCTTAAACAGTGCGACAAAAAAGACTGAAAAGAAGCTGAAGTCAGTTCTGTATTTTATGAAGGTAATTTACAAAAGACAAATGAAAACCAGGATAGTCGGTTGCTGTGCTAGTAACAGAGAATGTTCCGACCACATTCATTAATAAAACTACAAATAAGTTCTTATTTTTTCGTCGTTTTTTCTGTTTCGTTTTTTCTGTCTCATCGCTGAATCTAAACAAAAGCCTAGAAATTTGATAGCAAAAGTGAATGGAGTACATTTATCAACTTTTTCACGAAAAATATATATTAAAATAAAACTTTTTGGTGAATTTTTGCTCGTGGTTAATTTTTTTATTGGCAAGACCAAAACAACTAAAACACCCGAATGCAAAATTCCTCCCCATTTTCAATGGTCGAAACAAAAAAACTTTCTTCAGAATAGGCATGTAACTTAAAAAAACGATTTTATAAATACTGAATTGCAACTTTAAGCTGACGCAATAAATATGCAAAAAATACTTGAAACCCATTTTAGCCCCCACCCCTCCACCTTAGACAAGATATGAATCCCATAGTGAATTTTCTTAAATTATCGCCCGCCCGAAAACGACTGGTGTCTTTTTTACGCAACACACTTGACGTAAAAAGAGCGTAAATTATTGGCACAAGAAGATTTGAACTCTCTCATTTTTCTTCCTACAAACTGAGGGTAATTTTAATTTCAGGGAAATTTTAAATTCAGGGACTGTAGTAGATAGAAAGAGACAAAGGAATCAACATGATATCAGAAGCAGCTCTCCTCGCCTATCAAGAGAAGTGGAATTGATTGGAACGCGATTAACGACGTTTGTGCCTGACAGGTAAAAATCGCTTCCTTTTTCCAAATTGAAAGTGACAAAGGACAACCCAATCTCCTTCAAATAGTTTTTTTACATCGCGCAAAAACTCACAAATGGCCGTGGAAAGACCCCAACGTCATAATGGCCGATTATTTCAACAGAAAAACTGAAAGACGAAAACTGACCTCACGCAAATAACAGCTCCCGGATACAATCAATAACACCGGAAAAAACTTTCGAGCTAAAAGTTCAGGTATTGCCTATTACACCACAGAAAATTTTTTAAAATAAACGCATGATGTGATGAATATCGGGAAAATTTGCAATGTTTAGTCGCATTCACACCAAACTTTTCATAACAGGTAAAAATTCTATTCAAAATTCTATTCAACCAAGTCATACTTAGAAATATCGGCCATTTGAACATTCATTTGATTGCTTCGACCCAATTTGCACCATTTTCCATGAAGGAGGCTGAAAAAATCGGAATTGATTAGAAAGCAATAAAAGGAGAGATATAAATTGCAGGTGTCAACGGTAGTTTGTACTAAATGGAGACTTGAATTGACATTTATGCTTTATCATACAGGGACTATAATTTTGCAGAGGTTTCACTGTAAGAGAATGTAAGAATAATGTCGAAAACATCAACCAGCAGTGATATATTTTGGTCTGATTTTCCGAATAAGTAACTGGGATATTTTTACACATGACACGGATATTTTTTCTTGAGACAGTTTTCGTTAATCGCAACAAATGTTTTTGGAGGATGTTACAAATAAAATTGAATATATCAATGCAAAATATTTTTAGCTATTGGAAATTTCGCTATATTCCAATTTAGTCTAATTCAATAATCTGAGATATCTTACGCAATATCCCAACTTCCCCCAAGCAAAATTACCCCACAATTGAAAATTTTCATAAAATCATGATTGCAGCATTAAATAAAAGCACTGAAAATTTTGTACCATCAGTGAGAATTGCTGAATGCACAAAAAAGCAGCTTAGGTTGCAATAAGAGTGTCGGTAAAGAACAAAAAAGGGTAAAAAATCAGCGACAAGATAATGCATTTAAAAATGGAATTCACTTCAAAAAGAAATCAGACTCGTCACATCTCGCGAAGTTTCAAAGAAAAAATAAAGACATAGCTTCTACAGAAACACCTAACAATATTTTTTCTTTTGGAAAACTAATTAAAAAATAATGAAATAATTGTTGCCACGTGCAGTTTAACTTATATAATTAGTTGTTTGTAAAAGTAATCGTTCCTAGAAATGTTTTTACTAACCAATAGGTTTTATGAAATTAACATGTTCTCCTAGAAAAAAAATAGAGTAGAATGCTAGCAGACAAGTTGGAGCATATTGTGGAAGCCATGGATCTGAATATCGCATACTCCAAAACGATCTGTAAAACTCTTTGAGTAAAAAAATTGTTTTCAAAAAAACTTAGCAGCTCAGAACAGAACGCATTAAGCATTAAATTAAAACTTTTTTTCATCTCACACGACTCAAAATAAGGACTATAAGAGGGAGGGTATACTGCTCAAAACTTATCTGTTAGTTGATGAAAGATTTGGAGATGACCACCAATTTAGGTTATCCTGTGAACAAAGTTACTTACGGGAAAAATCTAGATACCGGTTGCAACACTCTGCTTAGCGCAAGGCTAAAAAACATCTATTCTGCGATTGGCCATAGGAAAAGCAGCTACATGGAAGTTGAAGTTCGAGAAAAAATATTTAAAGTCTCTAAGCGCAGGGGGCGGATCGAGGACTTTTGGAGGTGCCAATTTTCGAAAAAAGTTATAGTTCCCGACTGACCAAATTGATTTTCCAAGCTCTCCTAAAACAATATACCAAAAAAACGCGTTGGAAGCTCAAATTATTGCGTCAGATTAGATTTGCAATTCAGTGAATATAAAATTATTTTGTAAGTAAGAAGTCCATTCTAAAGAAAGTTTTTGATCCGAACATTGAAAATGGGGAGGAAACTGGTGGTCGGAAGTGTTTTAGTTTTTTCTCTTCTTTGTTTTTGTTTTCCATTCAAAATCACGTTCCACAAATAATCATCGGAAGGGTTGAGTAATATATCATATAAAGCCATTTCAGTCGGAATTTGATTGATATTAAAAACTTTCCAAAAACTTTCCCAAAAGTTTTCAAAAGTTTTTTAAGGCTGTCTTGAGAATAAAAATTTCGAACTTTCAAATAAAGCATTGTACAAAAAGTAGAAAACAGAATTTTTCGAATTTTTTATGATTTTTTCTTTTCATTTTTTGAGAAAACTAATGCCCAAATTTCCTTATTTACTGTGATTGTCGAATATGCTTTAGTTCTGAGCTTTCTTCACATCCGTTTATCGCACCACTCAGAAAAAACTAGACAAAGTTGAAAAAAAAGAAAACTTATGTACTTTTTTAAGGATATGGTCGAACATTTTGTGCTACTTGTTCAGCAACCGGCTATGCTGGTTCCATTTGACATTGTTTTTCAATATTAAAAATCAATGGACGCTGAACACTACTAGCATACCATTCATGTATTGTTACGATTCATCTCGAAGAGAGCGGGGACGTAACTATGGGGGGAAAGGAACTATGGCGTGGGACTCGTTTTGTAAAATTTTTTTTTTCCAGTCGATTTTGAGTACCTCAAAGAAAACTCTTAGGGGGCCCAAAGTGGTATCAAATTAAACTATACTCGTTATTCGGATTCTGAAAATAACATCAGACACAGAGGCGAAGCTGAGCTTTGCACTACTTGTGAAACACAAAGACACCGAATCAAAAAAAATGACAAACTTTGATGAAAATCTGTGGAAGAAAACAACAACGAGTTTAAACTAGCTTGAAAAATTTCAAATCGCGCTACATTATAGTCAGTAGAAAAAAAACAGATGTCGAAAACAATTCTGAAAAATTAAGTTGCTTGAAAATATAACTTGAGAAAGTTGGAAAAACTACAACTACAAAAGCTTCATGATTGTAGGAGATGATGTTCATAAAAAGCGTTAAAAATAATTGGAAACGATTCACCGAGCGGCAAAAAAGGCGATAAATTGTGGGTCGAAACCTTTTGAGCCGAAAACAAAACTGTTGCAAAAAATGTCTTTTTTTGAAAAAGTTTTTACGACTCATCCATACTGAAGCACATAATTGTATGCAAAAATATTTTGCCCTCAAAACTACGCAATAAAAGTTGACGAAGCGGAATTAGCAAGCTGTTTAATTATTTTTAAAAAAATGAAAAAAACTCAAATCAGACTTGGTAAATTTACAAATTACTGAGCTTTCAGTTATGATAAAAACTGTTTAAATTGGAACAAAACTCATGCTTTGAAAAATCAGCCGATTAAAATCTTACCAGATAAAAAAAATGCGCTTAAAAAAATGGAAATTGAACCGACAGAAACTAGGACAAAAACCATGATCCCGAAAAAAATTTCAGATTTTGATTGAAAAATTAATTACAGCCTGAAACAGTCTTTAACTAATTACTACTTAAATGATGGTAGTTTTCTTTGAATTTCAAGAATTTGAGCATGTCCAAAAAGATATTTTACCATTCCTACTACAAAGATCATTCTGTGAATAAAGTTATTTACGGGAAAAAAATTAGTACCTGGTTGCAATACCCTTGCTTATCACAAAAGTGAAAACGCCGTATTGACCTGAGCGTTTTTCATCCTTTAGACGCAATTAGACAACTTTTGAAGAGAGGCTGAAGCACAAAATTAATTATATTTTCAATTGTAACATTGTTTTAGCAAGTATTACTCTTCATTCTATTAATAGTTCACCTTTTTCAATGGACCTTTCCAGAAAACTAATCAACA